TCTCTCTCTCTCTGTATGTTTCTCTTTCTTTCTCCTTCTCGGTCTGTCTCTCTCTCTTTGGCTCTCTCTTTCTGTCTTTCTCTTTCTCTTGGTCTCTCTCTCTCGCTCTCGCTCTCACGCTGTTCCCGCGCTCCCAACTTAACGCGTTCGATCACGGGCGCGAATAACACTAGACGTCCGACGGCGCTGATTATATTATATAGCTGAACGGCGATAACACAGGCACGCCGTGGCGCGACAACTGCGCATCAACAAACACGTACACGTTGCCATCGCCAGCTCTACGACGATGACGCAGTCCGGCGCCGCATGCGCATGCGTCACGCTGCTCACGCTGGCGCGGTGTTGCGAAATCGCGCGAGCGCATAGTGAAATACACCATGTGACGCATGATACATGGGTCATGGCATGGCATGGGGGATGATGGCATGGGGTGTCTATATTCAAGCCGGTACGGGAGATTACGGTAATACGGTACGCATATATTTGCTAATATCTTGACTAATCGTGCGTCAATAAACTCAATATTAGCAGAGAGTAATCAGTATAGCTAAGACATGTGTCTATAGGTATCTAGAATATTTTATGCAAATGATATCTCCCGTACCGGCTTGAACTTGAACACTTGACACCCCCAAATGGCATGCGCGTCGGTACGTGCGTACATGCAGTATAGTGCAATGCTACATTATTTCACCACTATGATTATTGACTACTAGCTGCTTCACATGGCATATCCTTATTGACATCGTATATGTGACGACCACGGAAATCACGACCACGGAATATCGTGACGACCACAGAAATATCGTTATATATATACATATCTTTTGCAACAAAACATGAATTAATTAGAGAGAGAGAGGTGGAGAGGGAGATGAAGAGGGAGAGGGAGAGGGGAGATGGCGAGAGAGAGGGAGAGCGAGAGCGGGGAGAGGGAGAAGGAGGGGGAGAGGGAGAGAGAGAGATCTACTGCATATACTTCTGATCGGTTTATATCGCAAAAATGCAAGTGCATGAGTACATTGTAAGATAATATTGCGCAACGATTTAATACTGTTATCTAACAGTACATGCAGATGTATGACCGTCAGAAGATAAGATGATCCGTGATAAGATAAGAATAATGTAACATTATTAAACATATTATACTATTATCAACATATAATTTTTTATTTTAAAAACTGAACGTAGATTCATACTTCAGCGCGAACTTACCATGGTTTTCTATGATGCAACAAGCACAATTAACATTTAGGGAATGTTCGGCTTTGGCTTCGTCCGAATTCGATATTCTTTGATAGCGTTACCAAATAAAAACCACATGTAAGCAAGTGTTTTTTCACCATATTATGTTTAAAATTCGTTTAAAAATATAAACGCTAAGTTGCTCTACGTACTTTATTTAAGAAGTTTTATGAATCTTCCATAGTCAGGCTCATCAAATGGGAAGTGAAAAGGACATGCGCGGTGTAGCATTTACAGACAAATTAAAGTGAATAAAATAATATTGCTCTTAGAATTTACATCGCTCGCATACAGTGCGTACATGCGTATAGCGCTTATCACTGTATCACAGCGTTACATCACAGTATCACAGAATCCCAGCAACACAGCATCACAGCACCCCAACATCCCAGTATTCCAGCATCTCATCATCGCGACATCCTAGCTTCACATAACTACAAAATCGCAACATCGTAGCATCGCAGCAGCATCACATCCCAGCATCACAAAATCCCAGCATCTCATCATCTCAGCAACCCAACATCCCAACATCCCCAACATCCCCGGAATCTCAGCACCCCCACCATCCCAGCATCCCAACATCCCAACATCCCAACATCCCAACATCCCAACATCTCAATATCTCAGCGCCTCCGCATCCCAGCACCCCCTCCACCGCGATACCCGCGCCCCCCCAGACATCGCCCGCCACCCACTCCCAATCCATCAGCATCTCAATATCTCAGCGCCCCCCGCATCCCCAGCATACTAACATCCTAGCATCCCAGCATCCCAGCATCCCAACATCCCAGCATCTCATCATCGCGGCATTCTGGCTTCCCATAATCACAAAATTGCAGCATCGCAGTATCTCAGCACCTCTATATCCCAGCATCTCAACGTCCCAACAACGCAACATCCCAGCATCCCAACATCCCAGCATCCTAACATCCAGCATCCAACATCCCAGCATCCCAACATCCCAACAACGCAACATCCCAGCATCCCAGCATCCCAGCATCCTAGCATCCCAACATCCCAGCATCCCTGCCTCCCAGCATCCCTACATTCCAGCATCCCAGCATCCTAGCATCCCAATATCCAAACATCCCAGCATCTCAGCACCCCAACATCCCAACATCCCAACATCCCAGCATTCCAGCATTTTATCATCGCGACATCCTACCTTCACATAACTACAAAATCGCAACATCGTATCATCGCAGCAGCATCACATCCCAATACCGCAGCATCCCAGCATCCCAACATCCAAACATGCCAGCATCCTAGCATCCCAACATCCCAGCATTCCCCACACATTCCCAGCATCCCAACCATCCAACATTCCAACATCCCAACATCCCAGCATCCCAGCATCCCAGCATTCCAGCATCCCAACACCCCAGCATCCCAGCATACCAACATCCCAGCATTCCAGCATCCCAGCATCTCAACATCCCAGCATCCCAGCATCCAG